GTACTCGGCTGCAGGCGCGAAGGTCACGGGTTCGATCCCGGCCGTGGCAGTCTCATTTCGATGAAGGCGAAATACTAGAGGCCCGTGTATGCCAGTGCGTGTTAGAAATAGCAAGGTAGTCAGTTTCCGAAGCCCTCCACTACAACTCTCATTACCATGTGGTTTTGGGACGTTAAACACCAGATGTCTAAAAAAATTATTCTGGGGAATGACATGTTGTTACTGATGAAGCACAGGCATGATGGCCAAGCGAGTCAAGGAAGCTGGAATGGAGCTGTCCGAGCCTTCGGAAAGCGATGGAGCCTCATCGTCTAGTTCCAGCGAGCGGAAGGAACCAAAAGAAGCACCTCCAAAGATGATCGATATGATAGTCGATGCAATGAATAATCTGAGTAAGTGCACGTCCTCTCCTCGCCGTGTTGCTCTCGTAACGTATATTGTAACGAGTTTATGAGCTACCTTTCAGCCTTGTGCTCGCCTGTTATGTAGTGAAGTCTAACATTTGACACCACGTTTACTTATTGGAAATCTGTACTGACCACTCCAACAGGGCCACTGTCGTTGTGAGCGTTTACCTAAAGAATGCTCCCGGCGTAAATATGGACAGTTTCGCTGTAAATTACAGCCCATGCCCATTTCACGCTTTCTATAAAAATATCATTACATGTTGTCCTTGAAAACAAACTTTTAAAACTGCACACTCTGCCAACAAGCATGAGCAAAAGTAATGGCACACGAAACCAGAACGTTTAAGTTCATGCGAGCAGTTTCATTTGGCTGACCTAATTATCTTTACATATACTAGTAGACCGGTTTTTGTAAGCACTGAAGTTGAAAGTTCCATTGGAATGTGTTACAACCCTTTGGTTGCGACAGTTTAATTTGATATTGTCGATTAGCTGCGCGCGTCCTGTAACCGAACCCCCAACGCAAGCACTGCATTAAAAAAAATGTTGGGCAGCGCTGTCCGAGCAACTGTTTGCGTATTGTCGTTAGTCGCGGTGAAATACAGCACTGCATGCTGTTAAGTGTTAAGATAAAACTTTGACATGACGACACCAGCAATTCAGTCACAAAGGAAAGGACACAGAAGCGCCCTCTTGTCATTCTGTATGTACACAGAGTAGCTGATTCGTTGAAGAACGTCGCCTCTCTTTTTGAGGTCGCTGTCGTGTTCTCGGCACCTCGGAGGCTTCCGCGTATTTGTGCCCGTTTATGTGGCGCAACAAGTGCTGATTGTGTAAAAAGGGTGTACATTGGCCAGGGTGTACATTTGCCAGGGTGTACATTGGCCAGTCGGCCCGATGTATAAATGATCGCTTAAGAGAAAATGCGCTGTCAATGAGAAGCGGCACGAATTGACATTTGCCGTATAATTTTGAGTGCTCGTCATAACCGCTACTGAACTGCACGAGAATCTTGTGAGGAAACAGACGAAGTGGCACGTTAATTGGCAGAGGCGACGTATAGTAGGCAATTCGGTGAACAATGTATCGGTGTTCCGTCCCTGTCATTGTATGATAATGAATTTGCTTTATCTGATACGTTGTGATTATAGTTGTTTGAGCTTTTCGTGTGGTTGTACGCATGCGTGAGGGTTTCAGAACATGAGCTTCGGTTTAATAAGTCAGCTGCGAGTGTGCGCTTTTCCGTGTCTTTTGTTTTGTCTTTATAGTTTGCGCCAACCATCTTCTACACAGCTACACACCAACTACCCCTGCAGCATACGTTACGGGGCAAAATCTCGCAAAGAGTGGAAACATGAAATAGTTTTTGCACCATCACCAGTGGAAACATGCGCATCGCACAAATAGGGTTGAAGAGCCACTAATTGAAAGGCGCCTGTATTTAATAAGCAGCGAAAGTATAAAGTGAGCCACTGCGTAGTCTAACTAACGTGTTGCCTTGCGGACGCGTATGGTTTCGCTGATTCGCAAAAGGAACAATTATGGCGTTGAGGGCCATGCACAAATGAACTGTAAGAGGCATTCTGGGATGGTTCAAACTGGCTAATGCTACGCGCCTAAGTGTTGGATTCCTTACGGCCGGGTTGAGGCGTGCATCTACAAGTTTCGGGAAATTTCAATGCGGCAATGGGCTCTTCGCTCAGATTCTCTCATTTCACTCGACCACCCTTCTAAACTAGTTGAAAAGCTCGTTATTTATTCAAGTAGTAAACGTCTTCAGCCACATTCTAGGCCCTGCAACACTTTGATTTGATTGATCGATACGTGGGGTTTAACGTCCTAAAACCACTATATAATTATGAGACGCCGTAGTGGAGGGCTCCGGAAATTTAGACCACCTGGGGTTCTTTAACGTGCACCCAAATTGGAGTACACGGGCCTACAACACTGCCGCCTCCATCGGAAATGCAGCCACCGAAGCCGGGATTTGAACCCGCGCCCTACGGGTCAGCAGTCGAGTACCTTAGCCATTACACCACCGTGGCGAGGCGCCCTGCAACACTTTACCAAGTAATAGTCGAATGGATTTACTAAGAGCCTATTGCCTCAACTATCGCCGAAATTTTTCGGAATTTGTAAAGCATGAGCGGAGTTTGGCATTTGTCGCACGTTTCAAGCGCGTTCCATCTCCTTTCTTAGAAGCAAGCGTGCAGATTGTTGCGCCAGGACTTTAATGACAAGGGGGCCAAGAAGATGCGTCTCACTGTAACCACGCGTCATGGCCTTGCGCGCTTTTTTTTTTTTTGCTCCGAACAAGTGGTTGGCTGTCAGTGTAATTGCGAGCTGTCGCGCGGGTATGTTGCGGCATCACGCGGCAGCCACGGTAACTATGCAACTCACGATGCTCAAGTGAACCAACGTGACCATGGTATTTGGGCTTATAACATTGGCATTTTGGATATACGGCATCATTTGTAGCGAGATGAAAGACGGACAACTAAATGACTGAGAATGGAAAATTCCTGGTTGCGTACCATGTTACACTCACGTGTTCTCTGGGGCTTCAACTATTGATCGGCACTGTTTTCAGACAATACGGAAAAGGTGTTGCAGGGCCCCTTTAAAATGTCTATTATTACAGAGAAATTAAATATGAAGACAGTGAGCAAATAGTTTTCTCCATATAGTTTTTGCAGACTTTCGGACACATCAAGCACCTGATAGTGATATTTTCTTCCATAATGAAATGTCGAAGTTCAATTCGTCGTTAGTGTTTTTCCCATATTCCCACTAAACATGAAAACTTTGCAATTCGCGCACCCCTACTTCGACGACGCTTGCCTACTACTTTCGTCTGTAAACCTTAACGTTTACTTGAAATTGTCATTCAAGATTCACCTTAAATTGTTACTGTGCTTCAGTTGAAATGTCTGTTTAAGCTATTTCTTTAGTGACGAGATTCAAATCAATCTTGCAGGAATTAAAAAGATTGCTGTGCCCCCCCCCCCTCCTCCTCTACCCCAATCGTGAACTGATGCGCAAATGGTGCGCTTTTGTTGGCATATATGCACAGCAGTTTTGGTAGTGTGTTCCTATGAAACAGCGCAACAAGTAAGAGTACTCAAGTAGCTAACGTAGTCACTTTTCAGGGATGACAGGAACCCGTAGTCTACCAACAATGTTTCATAGAATGTTTTATAGAACCATGTTTCTTAGAAAAAATGTTTCATAGAATTCTCAAGTATTTTTTTTTGTTTTTGCAGATGACAGACGAGGTGCGTCTCCCGTCTATCTGAAAAAATTCATTCTAGGTGAGATACCTTTTAAGATCTACATAGTAATGACTTCACTATCTGTGACAATCTTGTCGTAAGTGTTCGAATATGTGTACTGCCACTCTAGGCCTATCGAGGTAACTTTCATGATTTCTCTTTGTGGTGCTGATTACGAGACGAAAATGACAGACTTCAGTGCAGGTGGTGCGCAAACTCGCAAAAGGCTTATTCACATCTTGCAAAGAGTGAAACATCAGTTCATAGTCTGATAGGATGGTTAGGGTGAAAGCGGGACACAGCAAAAAGACTAGATGAAATCAGATTATGAACGAATATGGTACATATCATTGTAATCACAGACATTTCGGAAGATCAGTGTATGTCAATTTCTAGAAATTTAATTCTGCCTCAGTTAAAGGTAATGAGGGTTTCTGACACATTCATCATTTTAAGCTATGATGCAAAAGGCTTTCTTTACCTCGGGTATCTTTATCACCACTACGTGCTAGCAACGTGTTGCCCTGGAACATCGGTCTGTTTGAACATCGTTTGCAATATGCCGCATGGTGACCTGCTGCTTACAATGGTTAGCACGTGTAAGTGTCCCAGGAGAGTGTTCATCATTACAGCGGCCTGTCGCCCTGTTTTTTAACCGTTTGTTAGAGGCATACTGCATTAACACTCTTCGCACATTGTACATGAGGTCCGGTGGTTTGTTGATTCTTTGTTTTTCGCTCGGCTATCGTTCACTGCTTTGCAGAGCCTTCAAACTTATGAAGCGCTGAAAAAAAACACGGTGCAATGCGCTACTTTACCAATGGTTTTCGGTGCAGTAGCGCAATGAATGACAAGTCAATGATCGCTGCCGCAGACGTCTTCGCAACACTAACGCAGTTTAAGCATTGCTGCCCCTGACCTAGGAAGTTTGGTGAGCGGCACTTTAAAGAGCATCCTCAATTTCCCATATGATGTTCTCGATTATGTTCGTCTCTGACAAAGTTTTGCTCACTCTTGCAGAAACACCATGGCTTCATTATTCATAACTGAAAAATTCATCCTCAGGCTATGCTCGTTCCCACAAACGATCTCCTGCACGCAGCTTAAGTTCCCCAGGCCGGTCAAACTCGTTCAGTGATGTAGTCTTGAAGGTGGATCCCGTCTCGAAATCTGGCTTAAGGTTGTTCCACCAGAAGCTGGTCGTACCCGCGTTGTTGAATAGCGTTGTTCAGTTTTTGACATATTTCAATTCGTTTTGCATGCTTTACCGTTTGCCACGCCGAGATCTAGCCCGTGTTATTGCTGTCATCCACTCCGCCGGATATAGCTCTAGTGACATCTGTGGCGAGAGACACTAGTGCACATGGTGATGGAGGAGGCAGCCGATCGTATGTGTTCAGGCTTGGTTGATGGTAAGATTCGCGATGAACTTTATGGGTGAATATAATGGTGCAACAGCACCACCAAGTGTGTTACTTTTGAAGCAACACTAAGGCAGGCTATCGGAGCAGAAGCCGGCATTGATTGTAATGAATAGTCTGCTCAGAGACCACATGGCTCATCTAGATGTACATAAGCACGGGTGTAAGCCTAATGTAGTAATTTTCTCATCATTTCATTTCTGTAATTCCTTCGTGAGCCATTGTCAACATTTCAGGTTCTATTCGTTGTGAGCGACAATGTGAATTCCCCCAACCGCTGTTCTTTTCCGCACATCAATCTGACTGAGAGCTTTGAAATCTGCGCTGGAGGAAGCAATATATATTGGCAGCTTCAAGTACTATATTGACATTATCGTCTATTTAGTGTGAGTTATTCACGCCAACTTCCTCACCTAATCTTTTCATTGGCGTGACGCCGTTATCCTCAAGCGTAGGTTCCACGCACTGGCAGTTGAAGGGCTTGTGTTCAGCGAAACGTCTTCATTGTGAGCATGTCGCCTCAGGCGCACCTTACAAACCGTTCAAAGAGGGCTTCATGTGTGCAAACTTCATGTACCAGGCCGGTACTAAATGTTGCTGCGTTCATTCTTACAGCGAGAAAAGGGCTGTCCTCAACGAAATACCAGTGATCAGTTGCTTTTTATTAGAACACCAAGAAGAGTTTCTTCGAAGCCTAAGCCTTTTTTTATGGATGCTAGGATATTTAATGTGGAACGGACTGGAACAATGTTGATTGTGGTTAAGGTAATTCGAATGATCTTACTGGTCGTTTTCATTAGGATCGCAGTTCACATATGAAGGGGGACCGAAAGCAATAATACTGATGTGTTGGAATCTAGGCAACGCTAAAAGGCACCACATCGCCACGTAACCGAGTGCACTGCTATGGGATTTTTGAGAGCTCTTGTTGCAATAGGACGTCACACTCTTCAACCTTATTTTGTCTTCCAAACACCTTGTTACTAGATTTCATGGAAATTAAACTTACGGGGCTTTGCATTTTTCAAATGAATTTTAAATTTTGCAGGCAAGTATCCCGAAATGAACACACGGCTGTTCAAAGCGAAGTTTAAGAGGACTTTTGTTAAGGCCCTGCAGAACAACATTTTGGTGAGGACTAAAGCAACAGAACATGCTGAAGGAGTAACCGGGAGAGTGAAGCTGGCGACAAAGGTGAAACCTCGCAAAAAAGTTATGGCTGCAGGCTCACCTGCAAAAAAACGACCGGCTGCTGGGAAATCTGCAAATGCCCCGGAAACGAAAGCTAAAGAAGCCGAGGGTGGAAGGAAGAAAGTTGGATCTGGCGAGGCGACGGCCAGAAAGAGGGCAGGCGGAGAGATAAAGGCAGCCAAGGACTCTGGTAGAGAGACGAAGGCAGCCAAGGGCTCTGGCGGAGAGTCGAAGGCAGCCAAGGGCCCCGCCGGAGGAACGAAGGCAGCCAAGGGCCCCGCCGGAGGGGGGAAGGCAGCCAAGGGCCCCGGCGGAGAGGCGAAGGCAGCCAAGGGCCCCGGCGGAGAGGCGAAGGCAGCCAAGGGCCCCGGCAGAGAGGCGAAGGCAGCCAAGGGCCCCGGCGGAGTGTTGAAGGCAGCCAAGGGCCCCGGCGGAGAGGCGAAGGCAGCCAAGGGCCCCGGTGGAGAGGCGAAGGCAGCCAAGGACCCTGGCGGAGAGAAGGCCAAAAAGGGCCCCGGCGGAAAGGCGAAGGCATCTAAAGGCGCTGATGTGGAAGCGAAGGGTCGTGAGGGTGCTGGTGGGGAGTCGAAGGCTGCTAAGAGCACTGTGGGAAATGCAAAGGCTAGGAAGGGCGCTGTGGGTGAAGCAAATACCAAGGCTTCGACCATCGGTAAGACGAAGACTGGCGGGATGGCTACTGGCAGTGCAAAAAACCGAAGTGCTGCTACCGCTGACAGCGAGAAAGTCAAAACAGGTACGGCCGGTTTGGCGAAGACCAAAGCGCGTGCAGCTGGCAAGGAAAAAACCACGGGCAAAATCGTTGAGGCTCCCGAGTCCTCCAGCGAACGTGAAGAGGCGGCCAAGTGCACCAGCGAAGACGAGGAAGAAGATGCCGCGCAGTTCAGCGACGGGCAGGAGATGGCGAATAAGTCCAACACCGAAAGCGAGGACGATGCCGAACGCTCTAGCGAAGATGAGGAGGAGACGTCACCTACCACAAGAGGCAAGAAAGTGCACGAAGATCGCAGTGAAAACGAGATGGAGGATTCCTCTAGCGAAGGTGAGATGGAGGAGCTTTCTAGTGAAGGTAACATGGAGATTCCAGCTAACGAACGAGATGTCGACTCAAGTGACTCGACCTCAAGAAAAGGTAGGCACGGCGAAGGAATTCCTGCCACTGGCGCGCAATCAAGCACGGATAAAGTGAAAGGTGCGAAGATGGTGAAGCGCCGGGAGCACGTAGAAACTCTCGAAAAATTCTCAGCCTGATCCCGATCCTCCACAGCAACGATCAAAACGAGCACGTCGAGAGAAGAAATAATACGTTCAGCCACATGCTGTGCACGTGGTTAAGCATTTTACCACATGTTTTTAACAATGACGAAGACAGCTTTTCATGCAGTGGCGCCAATTATTTTGGCTTTTAAATCATGGTAAGGGCACAGCTGAATAAACATCTGGATGGAAAAATAAGTTTGCTGCATCTTAAGAATCCTTCGCTTTAGCAGCATGCCAGGAAGTGCATTCATGTTTAGATGTGTACGTCATTCCGCGTGTGATTTCTTCTCTGTGCCGAAACGCATACACAATCTGCTGGCAAGACACTCCTTTTGTATGCAAGGAAGCAGCTCTGTATAATGAAACAGTGCTCATTCATTATGCGTTTTGTAGTTGGAACATTTGCTTTTACCATAAAATAAAGCAGTATTAAAAACAATGCACAAAAATTACTAGTTACTTAATCGGCCCATATGGATCATGGTGCTCAACAGAAGTCATAGCGAGGTCACAAGGGCGATACGGTGGGATGTGCGTTGTAGTCTATTTTGCCCCTGCAACTCCTATGACCTTAATGCAATTATCCAGCTAGTCCAAGTCAAAATATTTCACGCCACATCAATAGTTGAAGCACCGGATACTGCGCGCTATTGAGCACCATGGACCGCTGTAGACCATAACGCTATTTTATACAACGCAGTTTAGCTTTTATGCACACATTTCGTTCCAGTGACCATTTTCACTGGTTAAACACTGCTGCATTATAGCCACGTAGCACAAGGCGCTTCAATTAAATCGGATAATTGCTCTCGCACTCATGTTTTAAAAGTGCACTCACAATCTTCAATTATCTGTAGCGAAGGCCATCAAGGGGGCTACGATTTTGGCGACTGCACAGCTGATGGTGAGCGAGCACTGCGGGCAAGCAAGCATGAGATAAGAGCAGGCCTGGCGCAATAGGGGTAGTTGCTTTCGCCTTTCCCGCGTAACCCGGTAACCGACAAGGAGGCTGTAACTTTTACACCACAAAGCTGCAGAACTGCGTGGCGTATGCGATGTTTCGCCGCTGGCGTCTTAGGAGGAGGGGGGGCATCTGCGGTGGTGTATGCAGCCAGCTTATGCACTCGATACCAAGGGTATCGCTGTTCTTAGTGGTACACGTTCGGAGCACAGCAACGCTTCGTGGCTGTAACGGCGCTATTAAATATTCGCCAAGCTGTCAACCTCGAAATGGCTGGCACGTAAAGCAGTGACTACCCACGAGACATTCCCGCTGCGGTGCCGGCGACGAATAGGAGGTGGTGCATTCCTTATGCAGCACGTGTAAATGAGTAATTGGTTAGTACGTTTTTTTTTTGTTGTAGCTTGCGTTGTGGGGTTCGGGGAGTATGCGCTAGCGTTAAGGTTTCGGTCAACTCTCGAAAGAATTGGCGAAATGTCAATGCAGATGAGCGAATACGTACAGCCGTTAGCACCTTTCATTCGAACGCTCCGACGCGTTGCCTCAGTTTTCTTGGAAAGCGTTGAAACTGATATGCTTGCTGCATATGATACATGGCACGCGCATCGGTTTCACTGGTGACTGTTTCGGGTCGGCCTAACCGGCGGGTCGAATGCACTCACGTCGCATCCCGTGTTTTCTACGTTTCACTCGAGGCTATGTTTTCGCGGGGGCCTGACGTTCGTTGTCGTATGGGCCTCCCAACCTCGGTCAGGGGCCGCTGTGCCGCGTGTGTTTCGCCGCCTTGAAGCAAAAGCCGGTCGCTTGGTGCCCCGCTTCCGCCTTCTGCCGGCGATATATCAGCTCATCCACGTGCTCTGCACGCGTTATCTGGTCGCCCTCCACGTGCAGCGTCACCTGTGACTTGCTCCGAAGGTTTAAGTGCAGATGCTACTCGAAGACACTCTTTTTTAATATTCACCCTAGATCAATGAAACTTGACCTGATTATGGAACTTTTTATACTGATTTCAAATATATTAGTTTTCTTGCAGGTTGCTTACTTTTAGCTCTGCAAAATGATAAAGTAAAAACCTTTACCCTTTTGCCCCCCCCCCCCCTTCTTTTCATCCATTAACTTCTATAATGTTTTTCCATTCCTAGGTGATAATGTTTGAAATAAAGTGTAGAACTCAAATAATTCTTTGGGAAGCACATACAAAATATGTAATAGCCATGAAAATAATCGACGTAAAAAGTCCATATTTCACACACCCTAAAAAAGGTTTACATAGAATTTTTAGTATACAATAAAACATAGAAGTTTAAACTAGATAATTGCATTTTCCACAGTTTAGAACAAAATTTGGCAAAATTTTATGCAGATCCGAGCACTAGAAGTGCCCGAAAAAGGAGGTGCACATTGAAAAAATGGCAAAATTTGTGTTTGGGGAAAAACAAGTTTTTAAGCTAAAATTGAGTTATTTATGAAAATTACAATAAATCTGCTGAAATTTGCACACCAAAAAGAACACTGCTTCTAAAATACGCCAGTCCCATGAGTTTGTCCCTCTCGGCTTTTTCAAGGCGACTTGTCAGACATTTCGCTCACAGACAGGGCCATGAAACTCTTGGCAAACTTCTGCTCCATCTGACAGAGCCTTATGCCAACTGCAAGCTAGGAAGAAGTTCGACAGGACTGCGACATCCCAACTAAGTACAGTGTCATGCCATTTTGCGGCCATGTTTGTGCCACGTACCGTCGTGCATAATGGCAATGTCGTCCCTGCTAAATTATCTCACTGCGAGCTCTTTCAACCTCGCGAGATTGGTGCTGACGTCATCCATTGCCGCATCACGAAATTTCCAGCTGACGGGTGTGAATGACTTTTGATCATTGGTTTTGATTTTGATGCATTGACCGCAAGTTTGACTTTGATCGCAAGATGGTTTGATATTGAAGCATTAGTCGCAAGTCAAAGCCACACAACGGCTTTCACTTGCTAGCAATGCTTTTTTCATTCATAACGGAGATAATTACACGTGGAAAGCATTGTTCAGCTGCGCTGCTCAACAACACATGGACCTTGCAAATAGGCTTCACAGCACATACAGGTGCACAGCGACCAATGGCGGTCCTCGAACCGTATCATGTGATAAGCCAGTCGCGGTGCTCGAAAAATGCGCAAAAGCGTGCTTTTTATTTCTTCCGCCGCATCAGCGAGGATAACTGTTGTTGCTTGAAGAGTGAAGCTCGACTCTTCAGCTTGCGCGATCAACAATGGCGAGCGGCGGCGCATTATCGGCGGCTAGGTGCTCGAAGACTGCAAACTTTGGACCTTTCACCAGGCACTTCGTGCTCTTTAGATGCAATTTTAAAGCATTTCCAGTTAAGTCTCGACCTGCATTTTTTTCATACTGGTAGAGGGACTAATCTTATCAAAACAGGCAAAAATAAAAATCGGTAATTTTGAAAGAAACTTGCGTTTTTTGACCCGCATCTCCCCTAGATATATTATAAAAAGGTTTCCATAGTGCGAATCTTATCAGAACTGAGAGCGATTCATTGATAACCTTTGCTGGACCAAGCAAGTCAAAGACGATGTCTTTGAGCGAGTGCTATGTGAATGTCGATGGTGACCAGCTGCGTTTCTACGACATTAAAAGTGAGGTGACGGAACGAACTCTATATGTATGTTACCGGTGAAATGCGCATTTGCTGAGGCATTCGCACCTTGTCAAAGCTGTCGGCAAACTACCACTATCTACGTTTTCGCGTCCATTTGTATATAGCGTTCGCATTTATTTTGCTTGTATGCCAAGTTTGTCACGCCGCTTTCAATTTATTATAGAAGCTCAGTGGGAAGAGACTTAACCTACGTCTCTGCTGTGCAGTCACTGCAGCCAGATTTCAACGCGGTGTGTTCCGCTTCGTCAGAGTTTCACTTTTTCCGAGGTTTTCATCGGATGTTCTAAGGTAGTATCGTAAGTTCAATGGCAACTTTGGTTGTTTGCAGCTCCGTTGAAGGAATGATAAATAAGCGCCACCCGTTCGGGAGTTTACAAAGGCGAGCGGATAGCCCCCCCCCCCCCTCACAGACAATGCACTGTGCCAGGCGGCCTCACGAGGCTCTTGGAAGCTGTGCGCGTTTTTGTTCGTGCGTGATATTGTCTGGAAAGATGGCTGCGCCCATGACAATGCTGTGGGCAGCTGCCAGGCAAGACTAAAGTGCGCTGTGTTCGCTGAGGCGATCTTGATCGTGAAAAACGCCTTCCGATCTTTTGGAGGCACGTGTAGAAACTTCGAGTGTGCCGAAAAACGTTGTGAGCGTGCTTCTAACGACGTGGCACTTCACTGCCACCGGCACTGTTGGTCCGTTTTCAACAATTGCAGGAGACACCAAGAAATCGTCAGTCACATCCAGTGAAGATTAAGACGACGTCGAGATGCTGGTCTCGGTAAGTTTTCTTTTTAGCAGTTCATAACAGAGCCATAAAATGCTTGCTTACGAGACCGTCGTGGCAGTCAAGTTCGCAAACAGTGCTCGGACAGGCGCAGCTTTGGTTACTATGCTACCCAGCGAGAGCACGGCTATTGCTACTGTTACACAGTGCCTTTAGTGCACATACGCTTCAGTGGAATAAGATAAACAACAAAAAATAAAGCGAAAATCACAGCTTCGAGTGTTTGTCGGAAGCCAAAAAATAATAAAAAGTACGCACGCGTTTATTAAGGCTTCACTGCAATACTGCTAAATATTTTGGTGAAGGCATGTGTGAATCTTTACGATCGAGTTCACAGAGTTAGTGATGTTGCAAATCACGGCAGTTAGAGTGGGAAAGACTGCAGTGTGTACATCAAAACTTCAATCCGGAATCGTTAGTGGTTTGAGCTTGCATTCTTTACACGTCAATTAATTGACAAATGTCCTGTAAATGAAGAGAATACCCAGCTGCAGCTACGTTGCAGGTAGTGTTCAAAAATACACCCTTTCCGGCATTCCTTTTTAGAGACAATGGACGTTCGCGTAAGGCAAATGAATTGTGATTGTGTGCCTAGTGCACGTGACAGGGAATGCTACACCAGCTGTATGGTTGGGAAGGATCAGTTTATGAACAGTTTATAATATGTTTGCAACATCTTGCTGAGAAATTACATGGGCCTTTTGCAACACTGCTAGTTCTGGCTCCATGCAAAATACTAATAAAAAAAATATCACCACACCTCAGGCTGACAGGTAATTTGTGATTTATGCAGATTATACCGACTATATTACCAGTATTATGCTCAAAAGTGTAGCTAACACAATGGTGCAATGATACGCTGTTGATACGTAGTTATGCATTGTACAAAAGCATACCGAAATTTTGGTAATTTTGGGAAAGGTAGTTCACATTTTTTTAATGCCTGCTATCCTTAGCCTATCATAATGTTGCTAGCAGGGTGGCATGTAAAGAGGCTTCACATAATACAGACACAGCATTCTTTTTCTTGTCAGTTTTAACTTCTTTATCTTAATACCTCAGTCTTCCCAGCTCCCTGTGCAAGAAATCATTTGTCATTCGCAACTGTTTCAGCATGGTTCACTTCCCCAGCCCTTGTTTTCAAACCTCCTGGAATAATAAAAGGGTACGGACAGCAAAATTTTCATTTTTTCGAGTCAAATGTAAAGCCCAGCCTTCAGTGATCTAGGAAATGCACTACAAATTGCGAGTACTCTCTGCAAGAGTAATTAGATTATGCTTTTAAAAGCTTGTTTCCATTTCTACAGCACCCTGACATCGCAACACAATATGAGCTTCTCGTCATGTACTTGCGTGAGAAATCGTGAAACTCGCTCGGCTGCTACGCACTGTGGCTCCATTGGCGACCCACAAGCAGTCATTTCGATAGTTTTTGTGACAATCAGTGACCGTTTTGGTACCTGATGCCACCACAGCTAGCCAGATTGAAGCATGAAGCCCTCTAGAATTGCCTGATGTCCCACAGGAAACCTGACTTTAATATAAGAAATAATACATCTTATCACGATTTTATTTGCTTCTCACTCGCTCAGTCACCTTTGTATCCATAAAAAGTAGTGCCATACTCCTTTAGAATGTTGGCTGTGGAGGCCCATTTGAAAGTGCCGTTGAGGCCGACTTAACGTGCAGTCTTTAAATGTCCCTGCTGGCTTCCCATTTTGACAAAAGAGAATAGCCCTCTATGACTCACTGCTTAGTTTGGCAATTCTTTCATGACTACCACCAAGTCCTGAACCACAATTCTTGATACAGCTATACTCTGTTTTTTGTCGGAGCTTCTTTTCACTCTCTCTCTGTACTTAGCTTCACCCTCTTTAGTTCCCTCTTCTGTCAGGCTCATCATCACTTACTCGGTCACGTTGGCTGGTAAATATGTTGCTTTGCAGGAGCACTGAAAAGTCTGTTCATTAATGTTGATTTGTTCTTGTTTTTTCTTTGCCCACTCTGGCAATAGCTTCGTTGAGGCTGCAGTATTTAAAAATACATAAGAAGTAGTGTGCTCCCCAGAGATACTTTATAGGGCTGTGCATGATAAGCTAAGTCGTTTGAAGGCAGCGCTTCCATCTTTCTGGGAAGTAGATTGGCTTGCTTCACTCGCCTCATGAACTGCTAAATGACATGGAGCAGTAAACCAGAGTGCAATACACTGTTGGTTTGCCATTCATTGGGTTGATGTCACTATTAATCTGCTTCAATGTCTCTCACTAATACTGACTTTTTGTCAGAGATTTTTTAGTTGGAGCGGAGATCAGACTGTTGGTATACCATTGTCCGCTTTTTCTGCCACCATCATTTTACACGCCATAATTTTAGATCTTTTTACAATATTCTTTGAAGTTGATATGAATGACCTCCAATGGTACAGAAAAGTATTTTGTTTGTGCCGTTTGTTGATTCAGCTACCTAAACTCTACTTTATTAGTATGGCACTAGTGAAATGATTGTACTCATATTGTTGTGTCTTCTTTTATGCCGGATTATGTGAACTGTTTAGTTAGCTTGATGTACGTCCACCAAATGCGCTCATGACCACTCAAATGACAGTGGTTATGATAAAGATGGAATATTTTTTTTAAATTAGTGTGGGTGGCACTGTGATAAATTCTGCTTAAGTCAGTTTTAGAGCTTCAGTTTCTTCTCAGAGCATGACAGCATTTAGAGTTGAACTCATCAACAAGTGGAATCTCGAATATGGATACTGCACCATCGTCTTTCGTTGAAGGTTCTGGGTGCCTTTAGGTTGGCCGGTGCTTCTTTCTTTGTTGTCGTGCAATTCGCTTTCACTTCGGCAAGCGTGTTGCTGCAGTAACTAACCACACAAAGTTAGCAAGTACTTGGCAGTTTTCGATCTCACTATAGAGTATCATTACTGTTCAGTATTGTGATTCATCTGTATTCAGCTTGAATGGTAGATCATTCTAGTAGATTAAGTACGGGATCATGTCACATAATTATTTTAACATTGAAAACCTCCCTGTGCTTCAATTCCTTGCGTTCAGACCTTAATTTAGACTCTTTTGCAGTTGTCGGTTCCTTTACTCGATGGGATGCCATCTCTGTGACTTGCATTGTAAGGTTGACACACCTAAAAGTGCAGACTTCTTCGCATGCAACTGTCTTGAAAAACAAGTAAAAATGTCGCTAGACAGCACGTTGCTGAACTCAGAATTTAAAACCATTTTGTTCTCTCCTCCTCCACCTATAGGCTGGCCCCCGAAGAAATGGAGATCAGTGATCGGATCTGGAATGCTGCCGGCAACTGCTGTTCGGCTCAGTGTGGACAAGTACTGCAATGAAGACAGCATCTGCCTTTGTAGACATTTGCTGGAGGCGTTTAGTACACATAACTTCTCATTCTGCTTGACGTGAAACTTTTGTGCGACAGAACCTTTGCGAACATTTGAAAATGTAAAATGAATAAACTGAACGCATGAGTTGCTGAAGTAAACCTGCTTCTATTGAGACTTCATACTTACGTTAAATGAAAAAATTGCCAATAAAGTTTGTAGTGCTGTATGTTTTCGCTTTTACTTATCCTAAAACAAGCAAAATCTGTCCCGTTAAGTCATCTGCAAGCACAGTTACACCACATTACTCTCTGTCATCAGAGGTGAAAGCAACGTCGAACTCGCCTTCAATTTTCGAGTGCAGGGTGTACTTTCCACTGTGCAATCACTTTGATTCCTGTCATGTTCGTAATCCTTGAATGGAAATGATTTTTATAGAAATAAAGATAAGGCAAACTTATAACTTCCAATAAAAATGGTAATAAAACGACGTTCAGTAACAATATGACTATGAAAAAAAACGGCTACCTAATCTTGGAGACAAGGGACTTCAATTAAAGATGCTCCAGGCAACTCAAATCTACATGAGTGATAAATGTAAAAATAACTCTTACAGTAATAGCTGTAAGTGTAAGTAAATACCAATATATAAATTAAGAATAACTCTGATTGGAAAATGAGATAATGTTCTTATTTAAACGTGTTGAATGACAAACATTTAGTGCATAGTGGTATTGAATACCAAAAATATATGGCAGCATATATGGTAGTGTTTGCCGTAGTTAGTGCTTGTATGTGATAGCTAAAATTATTACAGGCGAATCTGGTGGGATTAGCGTTTACCAATTGAAATTTTTGTAAAGCATTGATTGTTTCGGAACCGTTCAGACACTTGAACACAAGAATCCTGAATTTATATGTGAATAAATTACACTGTAAATCACTGTTAGTACACCATGTTGCTGAAGAAGTGGGGACACGCTGGTGATTAGAGTACTGAATGTGAGAATGTAAATGACTTGGTTTTGGAGACGTTGAAGTTTGAAGATACGAGATTAATAGGTGTTCGCCCATGACGTGATGGAGTACGTAATATGACTGTGGGTGAAGGCGTAGTATTGTTTAGGCAAAGTTGAGGAATGGTCATGCTTAATTTAATGTTCTGATACCAGGAGCTATCCTCTGTCTTAATAGTGAAAGGTGCAGATGGTTCTTTAGATAAGCATCTAGGACTGCTCCTACGATTGTGAACATAGTGGTGGAAAGATGTCTGTGGCTGACGATAGTAATAGCACGGGTTGGTGAAAGCATTATGCCTGAATGAAAGACAATAAACTGTGGTTTGTGTGAGTTAATTGTTAAACTATTAGCTGTTGCCCCAGTTTTTTAACAGCATTGGTGTTCAAAAACTTCTGCATTGCAGTTTGTATTTATTTATTTTGCCCTAATCACAGTTCGCTTACCGAGGGAAGTGGGGGTACACGCCCCGCCACGGTGGTCTAGGGGCTAAGGTACTCGGCTGCTGACCCGCAGGTCGCGAGATCAAATCCCGGCTGTGGCGGCTGCATTTCCGATGGAGGTGGAATGTTGTAGGCCCGTGTATTCAGATTAGGTGCACGTTAAAGAACCAACCGGTGGCCAAAATTTCCGGAGCCCTCCACTACAGCGTCTCTCATAATTATATGGTGGTTTTGGGACGTTAAACCCCACAAATCAATCAATCAATCAACGTCGCCCACCATATATGTATAGGTATCTACATTATGTAAACGCAAGAAAATAAATAGCCTCGTATCTGCATGTTATACTGCAAACGTCGAAAGACGATAATATTGCTTCTAGAGAGAGTGAAAAAAAAAACGTTTCTTTGATGTTATGCTACACTGCAAATGTTGTCGAAAGACGATAATCTTGCGTGAGAGAGTAAAAAAAGACGTTACTTTGATGTTCTGCGCAAGTAAATCGGTGAATGGTATTCTTGAGGCCCTGCATTAGAGTGCCTCGAGCGTGCAGCGTACGCGAACGAGCGCATCAAGTCACGTCACACGGAAGACATGAGCGCTATCTGGCAGTTATCTTGGAAACCGAAGTGCGCGCGCCCTGCGCGCCCGTCTCGGAGGTGATAAGATGTAGAACGCAAGGCGACGGGTAGGTGCCACCAATGTGTCGTCTTAGCAAAGAGTTGAAAACACTTGCCTTTTTGTGCAAGCGTTGCATGGTCCGCGCAACGTGATAAAAGGTACGGTCCTTAGAATTACTTATGTATGCCTTTTCTAGTAAGAGAAAAACATACAGAATTTGGACGTGTTGTTATGGTGCCTCAGATATGCGCAATAATTGCTTTTTAATTAACAATCGCACAAGTATGAACGCTGAATCTTGAGCAATATTGGTGGGCACTGTGGATGGGTTTCTGCCGTTTGGAAGATCGTTTGGCCACGTTGGTGCCGTTTAGGACTACCGTTAAGGGCGGACAAACAGACAAATTTACAGACAGGGAGACAGACAGACAGACAGACAGAACAAAACTTTTGAAGTTTATTCAAGTTTATTTTAAGCAAAAGGAAAAGCGGTACAATAAAAGGAGATGCACAAATTGCCTTTTTGCTTAGGGGACGGACGAAGAGGCGTAAAAGCCATACAAAACACAGGCCCCATGTAAACACAAAACCCACCAAAATAACACAACGCTCAGTGTAAAATTAAACATAGATGTGTTGCAACATGCAAATCACATCTGTGCGAGAATGAAAAAAATATATGAGAGAAATTCGCTCAGGTAATGACATTCACAAGGCATCTAAGGGAACAACAAATGAAAAACAGGTTTATAAACATACTCAAACGCTAATGTGATTTACATTAGGGTACATAAAACACAGAACATAAAATTTCAACACAAAGTACATAAAGATACGAAACAAAAAATAATGATGACGGTGATTATGTTTGTGTAGGCAGTAAGTAAGCCTGTATCTTCCTTTTAAAATTACTGTATGAACCAGTATCGTCCATAAGTGTAGCTATAGAGTCATGTGTTCATTAAAAAAATGTGAAATTTGGCACAATAGTTTTTGTGTGCCGTAATCGGTACGTGGGTTTTCACATATACAAGCCCTATGTCGTAAATTGTGACCATAATCTCTTGGTAAATGCCTTTGATAAACCCTGAACGATCAGATCGTACTTGTTTATAAATAAGCATAGCCCATTTTTCTTTCATGATTTTGATATTTGTTAGTATTTTATGTTCCTTGAAGAGAAGCACGGTGTGATGCCTGGATGATACCTCTGATATAAGTCGTACAGCTTATTTTGTAAGATGTGAATTTATCAGTGTTTGCCTTAGTCGTATCCATCATACAAGAAGACAGTAATGGAGATGTGAGTGAACAAATAAGTAATATAGTTGTTTTTTAACCACAGAGGGAGAAGTTGTCGCAATATACAGATGATACCCGTGGATCTGGAATTCTTGGTACGAACATGGTGGAGTGTAAAGACCAATCTAAGTGTTCTTGAAAAAAATTACCAAGAAGTTTATGGACTATGACGCGTTCAATTTTTAGTCCTACAAATGATATTGTAGGCTCACTTGCGATAGTCTTGTTGCGTGGTCGGAAGAAAAGATACTTAGTTTTTTTGGTGTTCAGTTCAAATCTATTACTGTCAAGCCATTCAGATAGATGTATCAGCCGCAGGTTTGCTTGCTGTTCAAGGCGAATGAGGAAGTTGCCAGCGAAGAATATATTGGTATCATCAGCCTATAGAACTACATCGGGTGTTAGTGGTATATTATGTAGATCATTGATGTGAATTTGCATCGAAAGTCTCCAAGAAACACTATCGTCTTTAACAATTGTGCACGGAATTGAACGGGGACCTCTGAGTTGTGAATGCGAGGTCGTTAACCACTAAGCCGCGCAGGAGCACCTCCTTCAATGGTCGAACGGCAAGGCATTTATATCTACTACATACCATTATTAACGGGCAAAAGTGGGGGAGGAATACCGTGTTTCAGCATTACCAGCAAGATGGCGCAACGAGTGCGCGCCGCCACATTTTCGCGACCCGGCGCCGCGCGCTCTCATTGCCTACGCGTACTTGCCCTTGCAGAGAGGAGGAGGTCGAATGCCTAACTCGCGCGCCCTAGTCTCGCGGTGGGGAGGATCGTACGTTTCGGCTGGCCTCGGGCTTTCACTGTGACAATTCTGTTGCAGTCACCTGGCGTAAATAGGTCACTGCAGTCGTTGCACAGTCTCCGGTTGCGAAAAGGGCATTTTTTCAGACACAGCGAAGTAACAACTGAGACGCTTATTCACGTTCATCTGTACCTGTGAGTAGGTTTCGTGCGTCATCTGTGAGTGAGAAACGCAGTGCACGTTTCGATCTGCTTGCTTTTCTGCACGTGACCTTTTAATTAGTGCTATCGCGTTCATTGGTTCGCCTTTGCTGCAAAGCTGCGACTTTTTAAAAATGAATATATATTTTGTACCTGCGTGCGTACATGCTCGCCTACCATAATCTAAATAAGTTATCCAGGTTACCCGCTCTCCTGTGATTAAGAATTGTATGAGCCGCGTGGTGAATCTCGGAGTAGCGCGTGTACACTGAAAAGCATGAAAGGGCGTTTGTATTCGTGCCACACTTAAGCTATTGGCAACTCCATAAAAAGTTCAGTGTGCCAGCAACACGGTCGAGGAAGATGGCTACGCTTAACAGGGTTAAGGCGGCACTTTCGCTTGAAGCTGTGCTGCAGTTTCTTGGTTGTGGCGTATTGGATCGCATTGCTTCGTCAAAGAGAAAGGGTGCTGCCCATGGATCGCCTCATTCTCATCAGCATAAAAGATTTGACTGGCAAAGCAACGGAAATAGTTGTGCTGTGTGTGCAAACATTGAGCCTTTCCGGTGAACCACGCCATATCTACTTCAACTTGAAGAAGCTGTCTCGCGATCCTGAGGTTGAAGAAATCCCCTGCACACGCCCATCGAGCCTCTCCGAAAGGTGCTAGCACTTTTGCGCTGCGTTTCTGCGCAGATACAGGAAAGGTCTGAACAGCTTTTGGGGAAACTATACGCTGTGACTCGTGCTTTCGATTCCATGTATCTCATTGAGTTCTGCTGTCCCGTCAAAACTTGAATACGCATACCGTTCAAGAGCGGAGCTATGTTGGGCCAGTGTACCTTGGGATAAGGAAAACATTAGTTTCGATCATAATAGAGATGCTC